TCTAATCTATTCATGTACATGCATACATACATCTTATTCCTAATCTGCTGCTTAGCACGTTTCTGTAATTCAGTATCAATATTAAAGCATACATTTAGGAGGCATTTCCGCCCCAACCATGTACATGTATGGTATTGGTATTGGTGTGACTTTTGAATTGATTTTTTCGCTCTATTTTAAACTAATTTGAAATTTTAAAAATTGCCTGCACATTAGCATCAAAATACCTTTCTAATGATATATAATTGTTTATACCTTAGAAGTATAGTTTAGCCGTAAAAGGGGTGTAAAGGGAACATGATTGCCTATTTATATAATTGATTTCTCTGAGTAGGGTTGCCCCCTGTTTAAAAACTATAAGATCTTCACCGTCCGTTGGATAAAAAAGTGATATACCAAATGAAAGTGCATGGCCTTCGCATGTAAAAAAAAACTTTAAGTTTTTTGAGTAGGGTTGCCACCTATTTAAAATTACTAACTTCTATACATAATATAAAGGAAAGGCGAGACATTTTAACCACACTACTGAACGAATTTAGGCAAATTTTTTATGTATATAATAAACGAAGTACATGATGACATATGATTTCTTTCTCCAAATACGTAAATGTACATACATACATATGCACACATTGAGCGTGTGGCGAAGCATCAAGCATCCGTGGCCGGCTAGTCTATTATATTTATATGTTGGTGTTCGTTGATTGCTCCGACTGGGTGGTATGTTAATTTATTTTGGAACGAATGTCCATCATCCCTTGTCAAGTTTGGTTCAAAGACAAGCCGGTTTCGGCGTTATGTCATTTTCAGTGTCATTGTTCGCTCCTAAGGTGAAATTCTGCAATCAAATTTCTTCTGCCACTCAATCCTAATATAAGACCAGTCAGTAAGGTTAAGCATAATGACCGATGAAAGAAAGTGCCTGATAATTAAAAAGAGAAGGTAAAGAAATATTGCTTAGAAATTTCATCTCTAATTTTCCTAACTAGAAAGCATAAACTGACCTTCTAAATAAATAACTATCTAAATACAACACCAACCCTGTAATTAGGTTAGTATGTATTAGAAAGACTTATATTGATTAGCTTTTGCTTTGAAAAAAAAAAACAAAAACGTTGTCAATCAATTTTAATGTGTGTGAGCCAAAGATCGATCTGGATCTCAACTATTGTTAATTCAAAAGTCTATCCACTCATTTATGACTACCACCATAGCATTGCATAGTTTTAGTATGTTTCGTTCAGAAAACATGAAAAAGGACGGGTCAAAAAATTTTCTATGGAAATGTATTTTTTTTTATCTAAACTGCAAATACATACACACACTAAATGCATACTTAACGTCAGATGCACAAGTACGAGCACAGTTCAGTTTTTCGAGTCACGACGTTCAATGGGCACTTTCACCATGTCGACGGATCAGCGTTTGAGGAGCTTGATACTTATTTTATTGCTGGTAGTGAAGGAGAATTCTGCCAAGCCTTTACAAATTTTGCCTGCTGAAAATAACAAAATGACGAGCGAATTACTAAAATTGCTAAAGCAGATCCAAAGGGAACGCGATTTCAATACAATCGCAATTTCCCAGACATCAACAGAGGAATGTCCTTTTAATAGACTTCTGAAGGAAATAACGTTACCTGCGGTGATTCTAAACAAGGGTTTGGCGTATACTTACAAGGCGCAATTCTCAAAAGAGCTACTGATTCTGCTCTGCCTACAGCAATCAAGTGTAGCTGCTAGATTAGCAGAGCTCAGTGTATTCCGAGGCTTGAAGCAAACTCGCATAGTGGCTTATGCGCCACATGCAACCGATCTTGACCTGGTACAAAAAGATTGCCTCGACGCTATGGCCAATGACATATACAATGTTTTAATAATTCAAAAGGATTTCAGTGAGACCCAAAACTACCACACTTGCAACAAATTTCCGCTGGATGCGCCTCGCTACAAACAGAAAAGTCTTCATCTCCTAGACGCTCCAAGCGCCATCTTCGAACACCAATTTCGCAATATGTACGGTACGCCAATATTAACTTTTCCCACTCAACTTGAACCGTTCACCATGTTGTACTATAAGGCGGATGGAAAATTGGAGCTGGAAGGATACTTGGGTAGAGCACTAAAAGCTTTTGCAAACAGATGTAATACGACGCTATTTATAAATGGCCCCTACCAGCTGGGCCAAAGCGTTCATTTTGGCGTACTGCAGGAGCTCGCGGAGAACGGCACCGTCGATGTAGCCGCTGGCATGGTATTTGTGAAACCAAATGACGAGTTAGAAAAGTTGTCGTATCCAGTACAGCTGCTGGATTTTTGCTACATGGTGCCACTAAAAAGTGTGCCTATAAGTGAGCTATTCATTGGCATCGTACCAATTCCAATGCTCTTTTGCATCTTCGTATTCATTGTTGTTTTCGCTGCACTACTCACTCACCTCGATAAACGCAAACAAATCAGCTTTATCAACCTTTTTCTGAATGATCAAAGCATTCGCGGCATGCTGAGCCAGTCTTTTGTGATCGCCGCTAAACCGAGCGTTAAAACCAAGTTCGTCGTATTTTTGCTGTGCTATATGAGCATCATTACTAACACCACTTATCAAGCTTACCTGCAGTCCTTTCTCACCCATCCTCCTCTTCTACCGATGCATCATAGTTACGAAGACTTGGAAGCTGCTGGTTTGACCATTTTATTTGCTGAGCCTGATGTGCCAATCATAAAAGGAAATAAAAACCTCTTGGAGCACTTTCATCAATTCAAAATTTCCAAATACGAAGATTGGGTGAAGCTCCGTGCACGCATGAATACAAAATATGTATATCCTATCACAAATTTCCGCTGGGAGACCATCGACCTCCAACAGAGTCTCTTCAGCCGGCCCATATTCTACTTTAATTCTGAGTTTTGTTTTTTTAGAACCATGTTCTGCTGCCTGCCCATCCGTACGGATCTGCCATATCGTGATTTACTGGATGACTTTGTATTGCGTCTGCATTCTTCGGGTATTATGAAAGAGTGGGTGTCGATGAGTTTCTTATTAATGCTGAAACTAAAAAAGGTAGTATTTGAAGATTTAAGCCAACCGTTCGACTATGGACGACCATTAGTGCTGGATGACTTTTTTTGGATAAAAATTCAATTTGTCGGTAGTACTTCAATTGCATTTCTGGTTTTTTTGGGCGAGATTTTGTACTCTCGTTGGAAAAAAATGAAGGGAGTGTCGATCAAGAGAATCGCTTATAGTTCTGTGGATAATTCAAACAGAGTGGCTTAAGAACTTTACGTGCGCCTCTCCGGACTATAGTTAGTGTAACGAATAAATCCAAAGATGATTCCCAGTGAGGCAGTTAATAATATCGCATTCATGCGAGTTTAAAAAAAAAATATTTTTTGTGGTGAACCCTGATTATACCGTCACATTTTTAATAAAGTATTATTATGAATTAGTGCACCGTATTAAACAAATCCATTCAAAGTAATTTTTATTAACGGAGCAATTATTCTGTGTAGTTCTTGTATATTATTTTTGTCAGAAGCCATATATTCACCTTTGAAAATCTAATGAAATTATGATTCCTTCGCTTTCCACAATTAATGAGCATAACATCAACAGGCAGTTATGCTCAGAGTCAATAAATTAGGATTTTTAGTCAAGTTTTTCGACGGCAATCGTAAACTCGCCAAATAAACTGGACGGTGTGGCCTATCCTGTCAGGTACGTATATTTATCGCATGTTTTGGAAGAAACATAACAGTGCGTCAATGAGTCAAAGTGGGTCAAAGTGATTAAGTCCAATCCACAGAGGAAGTTCCCTCACCATTGCTTTAAGTAATTTTTCTAAACGATCAATCGGAGTATTTTGGGTAAACTGGCTAATTACCTAGTAGCGTTGGTAAGGAGTTCTTAGTAATTCGATGTGAACTTAAGCAGGCATACCCGAACAGCTTATTCTTTTTACAAGAACATATAAAATCCCAAGTTTTCGACCTCCCCAATCGGCAGAGAACTAACTGGGTTACTATCGGCTGTAAGTTCTCTGCAAGGGGTACTCAAAAATTCTAATAATTTTCGACCCTTTTCCAGTCCGAGACGATTCTATACCATCGACATCCCTTCAAGGGCCGACTGGAACCATATCTCGGTGAACTTATTCACAAACGTTTCAAAGTTGTATGGCAAGGTAGGTTGACGTGTATTTTGCGAGGAGCTCTCTATCAACCTCTGATTTACACTGAAAATAAAATCTGTGTAAATATAGCGAAAACTTGCTTACATCTTACGAATTTTTACATTTGTTGAATGCATTCGTACTATTTACTAACGAGTTTTATACTATATATTTACTAAAGAATTTCCTACTATTTCTTTGATTTTTACCGAATTTTTGTAAAGTGCACAAAAATAATTCGTATATTCAACGAAATTATTTTCGTAAAATCTGCGATTGTTTCGCAGAATGTGTGATGCTTTCATTCGCCACTCTTTCTCAACCCCCAACAAGCTTCAGGGAATAGGGATTAGCCACATACCCCTGAGTGTCATACTTTATCAGCATGTCATGCAAAATCAATAGCCACCAGAAGTTAACAAACAAAAAATATTAAGTAAATAATAAGCAAAAATAGCACTAATCAGTTAATAAGCGGCGATTTCATAAAACAGTATGGAAACCAGCCTAAAACGGTTGCATATGTTTCTACGCACATCTGCGTTTGCATGCATTTACGTACCTACATATGTATGTATGCACATTAGGGTAGTCAAAAAAAAAGTTTTAATGTTCAGCTCTCACCCCCATGATTTCTTAAATCGAAAAAGACACCCTTACTTTTCTGTTTAAAGAATTATATTTAGAGGTTCCCAAAGCACTGTATTTTACATGGGAAAAAAACACTTTTTCGTAGAAATGACATAGAATCCTTGAAAATCAAAGAATAATACCCAATTGTTTATTTAACCATTTCTTAATATTCATTTTTTGTATTCGTCCCCCGAAAACCTCAACAAATGCAATGGGGAGGCCATAAAAAATAGCTAGTGTTTTCTCCCATTTAATAATCTAATAATCTAAATATATTTTTTTTTTACAAAAATGAAATGCGCGTATTTTTTCCATTTAGAAAAATCCTTGGGGGCGAGAGCTTGACATTTTAAACCTTTTTCCAAGTATTTTTGGACCCCCCTAATGTGCATACATACATACTACATAGGAAGGTTTGAGTTTCACATTTGCCACATGCAATATTTTGCGGTAATTTTCGCATGCGTGAAATTTGTATACATATTTAATCTAATCCAAAAATGCGTACAATTTTGCGTTTGGCACGAATTGTTAAACTACAACTGCAACAAGATCAACACATATGTATATGTGTATGTTCATGTACATACAAGGGTTGTTGCGAATATATGCATTCGCTTTCGCATTCAGAATAATCAATGCGAAGCTTTTGCGAATGCGAATGTTGTGCAAGTGCACTGGCACACAAGATTGCAAGTTGTGGTCCATATATTTTGACCATGGAGATGCGATGTTAGGTCGTGTTACCCGTCGTGCGCCGTCTACAGCTCGAAAACAATATTTATTTTAGGCTATTTAATTTGTCGAAATTAGCACGCAGCGAAATTAAGATAAAACGGAATGTGAAAAAATTTACAGCCAAGCATACGAATTAAATTAGAATCAATTCAAGACGAATTTTAAATCTATTGAAGAATGAACGAAAGAACGTTATAACAAAATAACAGGATTCGGATCCGATCGAAAACATACCAAACTGACCACTTCGAAAAAAAAAGTTTTGGTCGAAATTTTCATTCAAATTATTTGCCATATCCACCTATTTAGAGACCCTAGCTATAAGCACACATTTTTCAAGACAGTCACCCACAGAAAGGATTAAATATTATTTACAAAATCTTAAATCAAAAACACTGATGGCATTACAGTTTCTCCAAATTGTCAATAGGCTAAAATAATGAGAATTGGGATTTCTTTATAAAAAGTTTTAGATAGACCTTAAACATCTTGTAAGCGGTGTTTACAGAACGATCTTGCCATGATGCTAGATTCTTCAAGATAAGATAAAGGACAATAGGATACATCCGAACGTTATTCTCAAAAATTAATTATTATTGTGCAGCGTCATTCGAAACGAATTTAAGATATTGTTAAATATCAAGCGCCTCCACCAGCAAGTGTTCTGAGCGAGCAGTTATTAAGTGGTGCAGGTTGGATCTACGATCCTTCAAGAAACAGGCTGCTCTAATTTTTAAATTCAAGTACTAAGTCAAATAAGCATTATTAGATATTACCTCCATCTCTCCATTTTTCATTTCCCCAAATTACCTAATTTACTTACCTAAATTACTTATTAAAAATACTTGACATCCGCATCCGCAGATGTTAGCTTTTTTACATCCGCATTCGCATTCGCATCCGCGAATGTCCAAAATTTCACTTTCGCAACATCGCGAGTACATACATAGCAGACACCATTATAAGTACCTCTCATATGGTATTGTTGCTGGTGGTGTGCCACCACTGAGTGCAAATGAAATGTGGTCAGCGGATGAAGTGGTGGCGAGCGGCGGAAACGCTTCTACACAAACATCAATGAACGCGAGCGCATAGGAAGCTACACGAACAGCAAGCAAATAGCCAATGCAATAACAGCAATTGTCAAAGATTTTAATTTTCATTACAAAATGAGCTTTTCATATGTGCGCATTCTGTAGGAACACCAATGGGGAAAGCAAACAGTCACTATCATATATAAATATGCATAGAAAAACCCAGCCAGCGTCCGGATGATGAGTCGAAGAAAATTACCAAAACATGGAATCCACTACAGTTTTGTTGCAGCTTGTTTATAAATGTTATAAATTCGCTACTCTTGTAGAAAATTAAATAAAGATATTTGTTTGAAAAACGTGTATAAAAACGGTTTTAATACGTAGTAGATTCTTTTGGCTCGGTCAGGCAATGAATTCACGCCACCTTTACAGAACTTTAACGAGTTTTGTTTATATCAAAATTTCAATTAGACCTCCACCGATAATACATTCCTTCTCCACTCTCTTATTTCGTATTTATTACAGTGCGACCTCGGTAAAAGCATCCGGTAAAAAATCGGGTAGTTCCGGTGCGGGTACTTTAGAGCTCTCGCCTAGCGTAAATGATTGCTGGGAATATATACATATGCATACATACTATGCGCTTTTCAAATTAGAAATTTTTATACACAGTAATCGCTATGAATTTTCAAAAAATTATATGTACATATATTTCTATCTTGAGTCATTTTTGAGCATAAGGCGCGAAATTATGGAATTGCGGCATTTTTTCGAAACTGAATTTTGATGCAAATTCGTTCTACACCCCACAACGTATTACCTGGTAAAATATTGTAGTTGAAATGCACTATTTTCTTGTGAGCGAAATTCGCGTATGTGCCATACAAAAAAAAATATATTTAGAACAGGCAATTTGAAAAATCAGTGACTTTTTTAAACTAAAACACACGACCGAAACCAAGTAAAGGCTTAATAAATACTATGGGGATCCTGCACCATTAATTTCATGGATTAAGAAATGGTTTACTGAGTTCCGTTGGGGTTGTACCAGCGAACGTTTAGTTCGGCCAGAAGAGGTCGTCCCACCAGATATCGTCGATAAAATCAATGGAATGCTATTGGACGATCGAGAACGAATGTGTGTGAGGTGGCTAAGGCTATAGGCATCTTAACTAAGCAGGTAATTTACATGAATATTTGGAACAATCAAAACAGTAGGTTTCTCCGGGTGAACGTGCACCAAATAAGGACAAAGTGGGTCCAACAATGTCATGGCCACAGATTTTTGGAACGATGTTGCTGTAGTGGTACAGGATATGTTTCTCCAGACCTTATGTGATATAATTAAGAGAGCGATTGAGGTAAACCCAGCTAAGACTGAGGCAAC